TATGAATGCTCGATTTTTGACAAAGAAGTCAAAACCATTCAATGGAAAAAAGACAGCATCTTCAACAAATGGTGCTGGTCCAACTGGATGTCCACATGCAGAAAAATGAAAATAGATTTATATTCATCACCCTGCACAAAACTAAAGTCCACGTGGATCAAAGACCTAAACATAAAACCAGATACTCTAAATCTGTTAGAAGAAAAAGTAGGGATCAGCCTAGAACTCATTGGCACAGGAGACAACTTCCTGAACAGAACACCAACAGCACAGGCTCTAAGAGCAGCAATCAATAAATGAGATCTCATGAAACTGAAAAGATTCTGTAAAGCAAAGGACACCGTCATCAAAACAAAATGACTGCCTACAGATTGGGAAAGAATCTTCATTAACCCTTTATCTGACAGTGGACTAATATCGAGTATATACAAAGAACTAAAGAAGCTGAAAAGCAGCAAAACAAGTAATCCACTTAAAAAATGGGGAACAGAGCTAAACAGAGAATTCTTGACAGAGGAGTATCGAACGGCAGAGAAACACTTAAAGAAATGCTCATCCTCATTAGCCATCAGGGAAATGCAAATCAAAACGACCCTGAGATATCACTTTACACCCATCAGAATGGCCAAGATGAAAAACTCAAGGGACAACACATGCTGGAGAGATTGTGGAGAAAGGGGAACCCTCCTCCACTGCTGGTGGGAATGTAAACTGGTACAACCACTCTGGAAATCTGTCTGGCGCTTTCTAAGATAATTCGGAATAGTTCTTCCTCAAGACCCAGCTATACCACTGCTAGGTATATACCCAAAGTTTGCTCAAGTACACAAAAGGGACATTTGCTCAACCATGTTTATAGCAGCTTTATTTGTAATAGCCAGAACCTGGAAACAACCCAGATGTCCATCAATGGAGGAATGGGTACAGAAATTGTGGTATTTTTACACAATGGAATACTACTCAGCAATCAAAAAGGAGGAAATCATGAAATTTGCAGGCAAATGGTGGGATCTAGAAAAGATCATCCTGAGTGAAATATCCCAGAAGGAGAAAGACAAACACGGTATATACTCACTTATAGACCTATAAGATGTGATAAACATAATGAAATCTGTACACCTAAAAAAGATAATCAAGAGAGACAGATAGGATGTGCATTGAACGTATGACAGGAGTCTACTGAGCGCATTTGAAAGACTCTAAGTAGCAGTGTTTTCAAAGCAAAGACTAATGACCAAACCTTTGGCCGAGTACAGGGATTCATAAGAAAGAAGGGGAGTTGGTCTGATGGGGAAAGGATAGGTGCTCCATAGGACCAAATATATCTGGGCACAGGGTCTTTTCTGAGACTGACATTCAACCAAGGACCAAGTATGGATATAACCTAGAACCTCTGCTCAGATGTAGCCTGTGGTAGCTCAGTAACCAATTGTTTTCCCATAGTGAGGGGAAGAAGGACTATTTCTAACAGGAACTCAATGACTGGCTCTTTGGCCTCCCCACCCCCCAAGGGAGGAGCAGTCCTGTTAGGCCACAGAGGAGAGCTTTGCAGCCAGTCCTGAAGATACCTGATAAAACAGGATCAGATGAATGGGGAGGAGGTCCCCCCATCAGTGGACTTGGCAAGGGGCACGGTGGAGATGAGGGAGGGAGGGAGGGACTGGGAGGGAATGAGGGATCGGGACACGGCTGGGATACAGAGTTAATAAAATGTAACTGATAAGAAAAAAATAAAATTAAAAAAAAAACAATAAAGACTTTGATGAAAACTGAAAAAAAAAAGAAATCAAAGATCGTTTCTACATAATTTATTAAAAGAATGCATTCTAGATCCAAATCTCAAACTGTCTGTGAAAGACATTTTTTTTTTTTCACAGAGAAAAAAAAATATTTTTCTTTGGAGAGAAAAAAAGATTTTTCTGTGGAGATACTATTTAATACATGCTGACTGGATATCTGTAAACATGTTATCATTTCATAATGAAAGTTCCTCTCCTGGAGAGATTTCCTCTGAACAATCATAGCACTCCTGAGTGCAGGAGCTGCTGGGGTATATCTCCTGGGGTTTATATAGTGCTCATGCTTAATAACTTTTTCTTCAGGAGTTTGATATTTCAAGGTTTATGAATAAAGTCACAGTGTATATCATCTTCACTCTAACTTTTCAAGATATTTGGTAAGTAGTGGGTTAGACACATCTGTTACTGTATCACAGTGTGATACCTCTTTTAACAATTAAGGCTAATCAGAGGTTGAGCACACGGTTTAGCTTGAGCACACAGTGAAAATCTTACAAATGAGTATTAAGTGAGTAAACATAAGCTTTGTAAATAATCTATTTTTTTATAATTTATTCACTTTATATCCAATTGTAGCCCCTCCCTTGTTTCCTCCTAGTCCCATCCTTCTTCCACCTTCCCCTTCCCTCTTCCCCCACAACCACAGAAAGGAGGAGCCTTCCTCCCCTACCATCTGACCCTAGCCTATCAAGTCTCAGCAGGATTGCCTTGATTCTCTTCCTCTGTGGCCTGGCAATAAACACTAATAATTCACTCTGAGGTTATGTACTATGAATATTAAAATTTTCTGCAAGTACATGCTGGGCAGTGGTGGAGCATGCTTTAATACCAGCACTCAAGAGGAAGAGACAGGCAGATCTCTGAATTGGAGACCAGCTTCATCTACAAAGACAGCCAGAGCTACACAGAGAAACCCCGCCTTAAAAAATAAATAAATAAAATAAAAACAGAATAAAACAAAACAAGAAGACACATATCTGTGGCTTCTTTGAAAGTATTTTAAGGTGTTTCTTAAGCTTATTGGAAGATTAATTGTTTCTCCCCATCGCTGCCCAAATTATCAGTTCTACTTATCTTCATGCTTATAAATAATTTAAGGCCTTGTGCTTGTTCCCAGACCTGTAGTACATGCTTTTCCATCTTAACTAGTTCGCATAGCAAATTATGCAATGCCATTCTTGTTCTCATTTTTGAACAGATGATGAAGCAAGTGTGTCAAGTTCCAGAAAATAAAGTCAAGCTGGATCACAAAAAGAATAACAAGAATTTTCATTTGGTGCCTACAATTCTTGAATTGATGTACTTGCCATTGATGCAGCACATTTTCACAGTGTTTTGCAACCTCTGCTTTACAATGATATATGAGAAGGATGACCTAAAGATGGGCTAAGACAAAAGAGTCCTCCTGAGAATATAGCAACATTCACTGTTTTAGTGATTCAAATATCAAATATATCATTATGATAAGACTATGATACTGTTTGCCTATAAATTTGCCTCGAATGAAGTTATTTCTGAAATAGTATACAAGTAAGTAAATCATTAGGCATATCTAAGGTCATCTGTGAACCAATAGCTGTGTTACATGGCAATGTGGGTTATACAGTTGGATGATTTGAAGGACATAATACTTTAAATTGAGAGATTAAAATAACTAAAAAAATCAAAATACTGTAATACTGCCAAATTTTCTGCTTACCTGAGGCAGGAAAGATAATTTCTCTGTTATCATATTACATAAAAAGACATATGAATATTTGTAGGAAAATTATGGCAACCACCTGTTTTATGTATATAAAAAACTATACTAGTAAGTGTTTAAAAGAACTCTTAGTACATAGACCGTGTTTAGTAATTTCATTTAATGTTTTTGTTCTTATATATGGATAGTAGTTCTTTATATCGATAAAAGAATAACAACAATACAGGTTATTTATAGCAGCATCCATCAAGTACAAAGCACTTAGTAAAACCCAGTGCAAGAACACAGACTTTTGGAGTTAACACACAGACTTATATATTATAGGTTCTTTTTTGTTTTATTATTATTATTATTATTATTATTATTTATTACAATCCATTCACTTTGTATCACAGTTGTAGTCCCCTCTTATCTCCTCTTGGTCCTATTCTCCCTCCATCTTTGCTTTCTATGCCCCTTCTATAGTCCGCTGATAGGGGAGGTCCTCCTCCCCTACTATCTGTCCCTAGCCTATCAGGTCTCATCAGTACTGTCTGGATTCTCTTTCTCTGTGGCCTAATAAGGCCACCCCTCCAAGGGAAGATGATGAAAGAGCAGGAAACCGAGTTCATGCCAAAGACTGCCCCTGCTCCTTTTACTAGGGGACCCCCAAGGAGACAAAACTGCCTATGGACTTCATCACCAGCAGTGTATCCAAGCAGATGCTGAGACACATGGCCATACTTTGAGCAGAGTACAGGGAATCTTATGTTAGAAGGGGGAGGTAGAAAGACTTGGAGGGGACAGGAGCTCCACAAGGAGACCAACAGAGCCAAAAAATCTGGGCCTATGGGGTTCCTGAAGAGACTGATGAATCAACCAAGGATCATATTATAGATTCTTTTACAATATCACTTGTTCTTTCACCGAATCCTCAGTACTATTTCCCCTGAATACTTCACATCAGTTCTGTTCCATTTTGTTGTTCAGTGAATGCCAGTCTGTTTCAGCCAAGGCCAAGGCTCAGTTTATGATGTTAGTATCGAAGGTTCTTTATCACTCAAGTTCTATCTGTCCTTCCATTCAGATTATGATTTAGCTTTTCTGGCTGTCCATTTCTTATGAATCAAGTACAGAGTAGTCACCTTCACTTTGATGTCTACTGCACTAAACTACTATACATTCTAATAGCCTTTGTGTGTTTACCTGTTTCTATGAATCTGAGCTCTTTTTAAGCTCTGAGTCATCCCATAAAATTCTGCAGACTTGAGATTGCTTATTATATTTATAAACAAACATTGCTCGTGTTCATAATCTTTTCAGCTACCTTCACTGAGGAGACAACTTCATAGTCGTAAACAATCATAAATATCTAGAACTCTTTCTGCAATATTAAAAATAATCTTGCTGTATTTCATGAATTAACATAATCAAAGTACTAATTATTAAAATACAGAAATTACTGAAACATGAAGATATTCATTTTTCCAGGAAATATAATTAACTGTCTCATAAACTAGATGGAATATAGGAACAACGTGACTGAGTTTATTCTACTGGGACTCACACAGAACCCACACATGCAGAAAATTGTATTTGCTGTGGTTTTGGTCATCTATATCTTCTCTGTGGTGGGGAATTTGCTCATTCTGATTACCATTACAAACAGCCAGTTGCTGGGATCCCCTATGTACTATTTCCTGGCCTATCTCTCCTTTATTGATGCCTGCTACTCCTCTGTCAATGCACCTAAACTGATTATTGATTCACTCCATGAAAGAAAATCTATTCAGTTCAATGGATGCATGACCCAGGTTTTTGGGGAACACTTCTTTGGAGGAGCTGAGGTCATCTTTCTTACTGTGATGGCCTATGACAGCTATGTAGCCATCTGTAAACCCCTGCACTATGCAACCATCATGAATCGCCAACTTTGTAACTTACTTGTGGGAGTGTCATGGGATGGGGGCTCTCTTCATGGAGGTATACAAATTCTTTTCATTATTGGACTACCTTTCTGTGGCCCTAATGTCATAGATCACTTTATGTGTGATCTGAACCCTTTGCTTGATCTAGCCTGTGAAGATACTCACATTCTAGGCCTCTTTGTGCTGCCAACAGTGGCTTCATCTGCCTCTTAAACTTCCTCCTGCTGCTCATCTCCTACATGGTCATCTTAAACTCACTAAAGACCCACAGTGCAGAAGGAAGGCGCAAAGCCCTCTCTACCTGTGTTTCTCACATTACAGTGGTGGTTTTATTTTTTGTGCCTTGCATATTTGTGTACATGAGACCTGCAGCTACATTACCCATTGATAAGGCAGTTGCTATATTTTATACTATGATAACTCCCATGCTAAACCCATTAATCTACACCTTGAGAAATGCTCAGATGAAAAATGTCATTTGGAAATTGTTTAGTAGAAAAATTCAGTCAGATGACAAATAAACTCACAATCATGTGACTTCAGATGGACTGGAAAAAGAATGGAATGGACAGTTTAGATAATCTCTATATGAATGTATTACTTACATAATGAAGAAACAACTGCTGCTTATTTGAGTTACACAAGGGGAAGCAGAAATGAGTGCCCCAAATTGGGAAAGCCCAATTTAGGTTGCTTTATTGTTCTAACAAACACTACACACACACACACACACACACACACACACACACACATAGACACACACACACTACCTGACAGTTGAATATATTTGCCTTTTTCTAGAAAAATCTCTGATCCAATGAACTAAGTTATAGAGATTTTCATGATAGAAAATTCTGGCTTCTTCCTTCAATGTTTTCTGTTATGTAATGACACAAATAATGCCTTTGGAAGTTAAATTCTGACAATTGAGCCTTTGTTGTCCCATAATCTAATTAATTACTTAGCATACATATTTTTCTACTGTGCAACATAATTTTCCCACTGTAGGTAAAGACTGAAGAGATTGACAATTAAAGAACTATTCAGGGCATCTGTTTACAGTTTTGACTGAAATTATGTCTTAATTGCTTCCATTTTTAGGTGTAGGAGTCAAATGATAAATCATACCAAAATTCCAATTTCCCTAACCAAAAATCCCTTCTTTCTTACTTCTTATTTTCAAATCTTTCAGTTATATTATTATTATTATTATTATTATTATTATTATTATTATTATTATTA